GAAAATCAATCCATATCACAAAAGTTTATAGTAAAACATAACAAAAAAAAGCAATTAAAATCTCTGTTTCCTTTTTTTTAGATGCAGTTGATTGTGTAAAATGCCCTGAAGAATACAGCTCTAATGCTGAAAGAAACCAGTGCATCCTCAAGAAAGTTGAGTTCCTTTCATTTGATGAAATAATGGGGATCATTTTAGTTTTTGTTTCTGCGAGTGGAGCTTGTTTAACTATAATTACTGCTATTATATTCTATAATAATAGAGACACTCCTCTTGTAAAAGCTAATAACTCTGAACTGAGTTTTCTTCTGCTCTTTTCATTGACTCTGTGTTTCCTCTGTTCACTTACTTTCATTGGCCAGCCCTCTGACTGGTCCTGTATGTTGCGCCACACAGCATTTGGGATCACATTTGTCCTGTGCATCTCTTGTGTTCTGGGGAAAACAATAGTGGTGTTAATGGCCTTTAGGGCTACACTGCCAGGCAGTAACATTATGAAATGGTTTGGACCCACACAGCAGCGGTTAAGTGTTCTTGCTTTCACCCTTATACAAGTCTTGATTTGTGTTCTCTGGGTGACAATATCACCTCCTCTTCCTTATAAGAACATGAAATACTACAAAGAAAAAATCATTCTGGAGTGTGGGCTGGGATCTGCAGGTGCATTCTGGGCTGTGTTAGGGTATATAGGATTCCTCTCTGCCATGTGCTTTGTGCTCGCTTTCCTGGCTCGGAATCTGCCTGATAACTTCAATGAAGCCAAATTCATTACATTCAGCATGCTCATATTCTGTGCTGTTTGGATCACGTTTATCCCAGCTTATATCAGTTCCCCTGGAAAGTACACAGTAGCTGTGGAAATATTTGCTATTTTGTCTTCAAGCTATGGGTTGCTTTTATGTATTTTTACTCCCAAATGTTACATTATCTTGCTAAAATCTGAAAAGAATTCTAGAAAAAATTTGATGGCCAGAATGCCCTCAAAATCTCTGTGAGAAAAAAGGTTCTTGTTCTCATCACTTACATGTTAATTAAATGTTCATATAATCTAGAATTTTGAAAATTAGATACCACCTTAATAGAAATGTTTATTTTGTACATCAAACTTCTGTACTGTTTTTTGATGATGAGAGAAAGTATGCAATCATAATAAATACACAACAATGTACTGTAAAAATTTCTGAGACACTTCTGCTAAATATCTAAGGGATTTTACAACAAAAATCCCTGCCTTCTTTTACTATACCAACCCAATCTGGAACCACCTCTTGTCTATTTTCACTTCTCAGCTCACAGCAGTGAAGCCTGTATTCTCACACAGGGGAGCAAGTGCAAGCTGAGTTGATAGCATTCGCTCCTGTAAGCAAATCAATGGCAGTCTGTGGACTCCTACATCACTAATCCTGAGCAATTGTTAATTACAGAGGTCCAAGAAATGTGTTAATCTGCTAACTTGACAAACAACAATAAAACAAATATGAGTATTTTTAACTGAATACAATTAATTATTAAATTGCTCATTAAATTTTCAAACATTTGTATTATGATTTATTTATTTAAAAATATATATTAAATGTTATGCTTTTGAAGTGTAGTGTCATAACATTGTGCTTATGAAATAAAAATATCAGAGAGAATCTGGATGTTTTCCTTCAAAGTTACATATACTGTTTTTTTCTTTCATAACTTATAAAAAATATATGTGACTTCTAGTGAATTACAGGTCATGTCCCATTACTTCCCTGCAGTCACCTGTTTTACTGCAATACACACTTAAGAGTATCACATTTGGTCACATTTAAGAGGTTTTTAGAGAGGTGTTTTCATGAAGTGTTACGTCAATCACCAAACAAGCAGTTTCTCTGGAAACAGAAGCAGTCCTAAAAATACTACAGCAATTTCTAAAACAAACTAGTGTTTTGTGAACTAGGGCATCAGGTTCTCCAATCTGTATATGGTAACAGGAACTAAATTCTACTTTCCACAGGCCATATACAGAACTGTTCTCTATTCAAACTCTGGATAAAGCCCTGTGGACTTTTGCTGATCAACCTGTAAGATGGGGAAGTTGTCATTAATGTTCCTGGGAAGAGAAATGATGTCAGGGCGGCATGGCAACACCAATGGAATGCAGTTGTTACTCCAGGAGTTACTATTTGGGTTGATGAGCCAAGGGCTGTTTTTAGCTCGGGTGAGGGCCCTGTCAATTACATGCTTTGGGTATCTCCTGTCAATGAAAAAATAGTTCATTTTTAGAGCTTGGTTATGGAAGTCCATGTCTTCACTGCATAGTCATCAGACCTTGAGGAGACAGGAAGAAGACTGGCAGACCATTTCAGGGAAAAACTTCCCCATTTTACAGGATGAGCCCTCCACTGGCACCCTCTTTCCTGAGCACTCCATCATATCATCTCATATCAATGACCACCTACTCTGCGCAATTTTCTTGTTCACAGCTCACAGTGTAAGCAGCGTTTGTGATAGGTGACAGAAATGGAAGGGAGGGAGGCTCCAATGATCTTTTCAGCTGTTTCCACAATTCGTTGCAGGGTCTTGCAGTCTGAAACGTTGCAATTCCCAAGCCGAACAGTGATCCAGCTGGTCGAGGTGCTCTCAATGGTGCTTCTATATAAAGTGGCAAGAATGGGCGGGGGAAGGTTTGCCTTCCTCAGTTGCCACAGGAAATACAGACGCTGCTGTGCTTTCATGGCTAGGGAGGTGGTACTGAAGGACCAAGTGAGGTCATCTGTAATGTGCACACCAAGAAACTTGGTGCTTCTAACTGTCTCCACAAAGGAGCTGTTGATGTGCAGTGGGGAGTGATCAGCGTGGGCCCTCTTGAAGTCAATGATTATCTATTTTGTTTTGTTTAATTCAAGAGATAGGTTGTTGTTTGTGCAGCAGTCCACTAGTTGCTCCACCTCCTCTCTGTATGGTGACTCATTGTTGTTGCTAATGAAGTCCACCACTGTCGTGTCATCGGCAAACTTGATGATGCAGTTTGAACTGTGCTGGGCAGTACAGTCATGAGTCATCAATCTGAACAGCAGCGGGCTGAGCACACAGACCTGGGGGGTTCCGGTGCTCATTGTAATGGTGCTGGAGATGTTATTACCGATCCAGACTGTCTGAGGTCTATCGGTCAGAAAGTCCAGAATCCAGTTACAGGGGGAGGTGTTAAGGTTCAGCAAGCTCAATTATCTGTCAGCTTCTGGGGAATGATTGTATTAAACGCTGAACTGAAGTCAATGAAAAGCATTCTTACATAAAAGTCTTTCTTATCCAGGTAGTACAGGGACAGGTGAAGGGAAAGAGATACAGCATCATCAGTAGACCAGTTGGGGTGGTATGCAAACTGAAGGGAGTCCAGAGGGGTAGGGAGTCTGGACTTTTTGTGGCTCATGACTAGTCTCTCGAAGCACTTCATGATAATTGGTGTGAGTGCCATGGGGCGATAGTCATTGAGGCAGGACACGGCTTACCTCTTCGGCAATGGTATAATAGTGGTGGATTTGAAGCATACAGGGATGACTGCCTGGCACAAGGAGATATTAAAAATATCTGTGAGGATGTCAGCTACAGTAACTGTTCTGCATATTCCGCGAGCACACGACCAGGTATAATATCAGGTCCAGCAGCCTTACGTGGATTAACTTTGGCTAGTGTCCTCCTTACATCAGCTGCGGACAGGCAAAGCACCTGATCATTGGGAGGAAGTGTGGTTTTCGCTCGCAGGCACAATGTTCATAGTTTTAAATTGTGCATAGAAGTTGTTCAGCACATCTGGGAGGGAGGCATCACCGTCACTGACACATGGGGTAGTCCTGTGACCAGTAATGGCCTGGATGCCCTCCCACATGTGCCGCATGTCTCTGGTGTCCAGGAAGTGACCATGGATTGTTTGTGCATAGGTGTGCTTTGCCTCCCACGGGGCAGTCCGGAGGGCTGCGTTGTCACCTGATCTGAATGCAGCATCACAGGCTTTTAGCAGTGTGTGGACCTCTGCAGTCAGCCATGGCTTCTGGTTAGCCCGTGTGATGCTGGATTTGGAGACAGTGACGTCATCTTTACGCTTACTGTAGGCGCGCACGGACACAGTGGCTGATCTGGGTCTGGAAAAAACAGTACAAAATGTTGTCCCAGTGTTAAATGTTGTCTTGGTTAAATTTTTTCAAATGTTTACGATCGCCTGACCCAGCTGGAAATTGAAAAACGATGCAAGGACTACCCGCTGAGTATTCTGATGGAGAAGCTGAAGGAGAAGCTAAGTAGCCTCGGCTTACTGAGAGCATCAGGTCCTGGTACAGCGGCACAACCTGGTGCAGGTGTCCGAAGGAGGAGGCACCGAAAGCGGTGTGAAAGAAAACAGAAATGAGGCAAGAGGGCTGGAATCTGTTGCAGGCTAAAAGCCAACCCTAACAGACCAGACCAGCTCCCCTTCCAATTTTTCTATCCAACGTCCGTTCTCTGGAGAACAAGCTGGACTACCCAAGATTGCAACAGGCTGCTCAGCGAGAGATGAAGGAGTGCTGCGTCTTTTTTACTGAAACATATACTAACTAGGACAATATTTTGGACACAGCCATTCAGCTAGATGGACTGACTTTCTTCCACGCAGACAGGAAAGATTCAGAAACCAGTAACTATCGCGGAGGTGGTTTGTGTGTTTATATAAACAGAAAATGGTGTGGAAATGCTGCAGTAGTCTCTAGTTACTGCTCACCACTAGTGAAATTTCTTACGCATGTTTCTGCTTCATTGTGCATCTCCCTATGCATAGTATTTTACCGAACCGAAATGGCTTGCACATCTTGCGTACCTGTCGGACATTTCTGATAGACTTAATACTGTTAATTTGTCATTTCAGGGCACTGACAGTGATTGAGAAGATCGAGGGGTTCGTGACTGATGGAGAACGCAGCTTGAGGGGGGAGATGTGGACATGCTCCCACCTTGGAGGTATTTATAACGCAAAATGAACTTAGCTTGGAGGCTATGAAAGAGGAAATCAGTCATCGTCTACAGGCCCTTTCCGAACGTTTCAGGAAATATTTTCCTGAGCAACAGAGTTGGGACCAGCACGACTGGGTTCGTAACCCCTTCACTACCAACGCAGGGTGTCAGCTGTCGTCAGACCAACTGGTTACTCTTCTGGAAGTTTCAAGTGACCGCACACTGAAAGCAGTCTTCAGTTCAACCCCACTTGCGGAGTTCTGGTTGTTAGCTGAGGCAGAGTACCCCGAAGTGCCAAGACTCGCAATTGATGCACTTTTGCCTTTTGCCTCGACTTGTTTCTGCAAAACAACATTTTCTGTACTTACTTATATTAAAAACTAATGCCGCTCATGATTAATGACACTGGAGGATGATTTACGACTAGCAGTGTCTGGAATTGAACCATCATCACACCGAATAAGGTCAGTTGTAAGCTATAGTATCCTCCCTTCAAGGTAAATGAATGAAAGGCGCTTAAATGCATGTACAGTAAGTATACACAAAAGTTATATGCATGAGTGGGTGTGATGAGGTTGTTCACATTGTTTTCTCAATGGGTTTTGGGTCAGGGGGCGAAAGTTCAAACTTAGACAAATGGGGAGGGGGGTGGACGCATGTCAAAAAAGGTTGAAAACTCCTGGACTAGACAACCATGAGATCACGACAAGAGTTTGAAGATACCGGCCTTCACAAATAGCGGAACACCAAGCAGTTCTGAGAATCTATGGTGCTGTTTAACATTGACATTGTCATTCCTCCTGCTTTATTGCTAATAACTAGTTGTTATGGAGTTTATAAGCATGATTTGCTCCTTTAATGTTATTTTACAAAATGAACTTTAAAGGCAAATTAGAAAAAATGGGAATTATAGCTTAAGGATTGACCTTTATTAGCAAATAAGAACAAACATCTTTCTCCACAACCATGGATGAGTGATAAATGCTTTTAAAAATGTCTACATAAAATATAACCATACAGTACTTCTCAGCATGAGAGTAGAGAATAAAACACTTCAATTCTTCAATACACCATTCTGCTTTCTTAAAAAGAAATTAGAAATTTGAAGGTTGCTTGATTAGTGTGAAAAATCCAACACATCTACTGTAAGTTATTATTTACACCTTGAATTTAACATATTAAATATTCTTAAGTGTAGTTATATATGGTACATTAAGTAACAACTTACATTACATACAGTACAGTGCACATCACATGATTATTGTTTGATCGCTCTGTTTCCCTTAGTGGATTCAAATGCTGAATTTACCTCTGATGAGAAAGTAAGAAAAGTTTACTGAGAGTGAGAATCTCTTTATTCACCACCTGAGACTTACACTGTACTACTGTACTACAGTATATAAAAGCACATGAATCACAGTTCTGTGACTCTAAGGAGAAAGAACACTCTGAAATGTTGCTCTTGGTGGGTGTAACATTGTCTGCTCTTTTCATCAGAGCAGAGAAGCCTGTCTGCAACTACGAAGGAGGAAAAGAGCCCCCCATCTTTTCACAAGAAGGAGATGTTATCATAGGAGGAGTCTTTTCATTTTACAACAACCTTGTAGTTGAAGAGCAATCCTTTACAACGGTACCTGGTGCATTAAAATGCAGAGAGTAAGAAGATTTTTTTTACTAATGTAAATTCTGTCAAAATTTGTATTAATCAGCCGTTTCCCTGTTTTTTCAAATGGTTAAACTGCATCTTGAACTGTAGTGTACTATTTAAAGTTGTATGATTTATTATGAAACATCACACTTTGTTAACACTACATACTTCAATTTTCAGACTAACATTTGTACTTTTCCACAGTTTAGATATAAAAGAATATCACGTAGCTCTGGCTATGATCTTTGCCATTGAAGAAATAAATAACAGTTCAGAAATTCTTCCTGGTGTATTATTGGGTTATAAGATATATGATGCTTGTGGTTCCACATCTTTGGCTATAAGGGCAGCAATGGCTTTAATGAATGAGCCAGCAGAAGCACTTCAATCAGACCAGTCCTGCAACAAGACCTCCTCTGCTATTGCAATAATAGGGCAATCTGGATCATCACCCACCATTGGAGTTGCAACAAGTGTGGGACCCTTTCATATACCTGTGGTGAGTAGCATATTACTTATATTTCTTCTGTTTCTCTATGCCACTGTCAATTCAGAGAAAAAACCCTTAATTGTTCATTACTATCATACCTTTCTTATATCATTGCTTTTCTATCATTGATTATCATTCTGCATACATAGTTTGTATGACAGGTAGGTATCTTCCATCTGTCTTTCTCTTTTGAAAATGTATCAGTTTACTAGAATAATAATATTAGTCAAACAATCAAAATAAACACAGAATGTTTTTCACAGATTTTTTACAAGAAAAGCTGAAAAACAGAACTTCCATTATTTCTTATACTCTATTTTTTCTCTTTTATTACAGGTAAGTCACTTTGCGACATGTTCTTGTCTCAGTAACAGAAACAAGTATCCCACATTTTTCAGAACCATCCCCAGTGACTATCATCAGAGCAGAGCCCTGGCAAAGCTTATGAAGCACTTTGGATGGACCTGGATTGGTGCCATTAGAAGTGACAATGATTATGGCAACAGTGGGATGGCTTCATTTATACAAGCTGCCCAGCAGGAGGGCATCTGTATTGAATATTCAGAGGCCATTTATAGAACTGATAACAAAGAGAAGTTTCTTAACATTGTGGACGTCATTAAAAAATCTTCTTCAAAAGTTATTGTTGCTTTTGCGTCACCTATAGATATCGATTTTCTAGTGAAAGAATTGCTTCTTCAAAATATCACAGGTTTCCAGTGGGTGGGCAGTGAATCCTGGATTACAGACAGAAATACTGCATCAGAAAAGGGTTATAAAGTACTGGGTGGGGCCATTGGCTTTGCAGTTACTAATGCTGAGATACCAGGCCTGGAAGACTTTCTACTCAATGTCCACCCACTTGGTACACCTGGTATCACTGGGTTAGCAAAGCTTTGGAAACATGTTTTTGGCTGCACTTTCACCATCCACGACAATAACGAAACTGTTAAATTATGTACGGGGATGGAGAATTTAAAAGAAGCCAGCAGTGAGTACAGTGATGTATCAGATCTCAGGATACCAATTAATGCTTACAAAGCTGTCTATGCAGTGGCCCATTCATTACATGCTCTGTTAATGTGCCAAAGTGGTCAAGGACAGTCTGATAACACAACATGTGCAAGCAAAAAGAAAACAGAACCTTGGCAGGTAAGATAACCACTTACATATTACATTATCAATAATAAAAAAACGTATATTGTTAATGTTTACAGCTTGCCTTTACCTAGGTACTACATTACTTGAGAACAGTTCAATTTACAACCAAAAGTGGAGAGGAGGTCTATTTTGATGGAAACGGAGATCCAGCAGCACGATATGCATTAGTAAATTGGCAGCTGAACAAGGAGGGAATCATAACATTTACGATTATTGGTCTTTATGATGCCTCGTTACCAGAAGGACAGCAGTTTATAATGAATTATGTCAACATAGTGTGGGCAGGAGATCAGAAGAAGGTAAGCTCTTCAAGCTCACATTCACACTTATCGAAATGTGTTCTATCTAAAAATATTTTTTTTATTAAAAGAGCACCTAACTAAATAGCTCATGATGCTTTTCAGAAACCATTGTATTTCTATATGCTTCTGTGGCATTAGTGTGTGGATCGGAGTCTGGTTGCTGCTACTGCACGTCTTTTACTGCCTGTAAAGAAAGCTCTCAACCGGTCTCCAATGGGTTTCTAGGTGCCAAGATCAGTGTGCAGTGAGAGCTGCCTTCCAGGGACTCGTAAGGCCATTGAGAAAGGGAAGCCAGTCTGCTGCTTTGTCTGCATCCCCTGTGCAGAGGGAGAGTTCAGCAACACTACAGGTAAGTACAGTACCTGTCTAAGAAAT